TAACTTTGGCCTTTTTTTCACAAAATCATGAAAACTGATCCTAACATAATTCGTCATAGATTGAATTTCGATCATTATCTAACCAGGCAAATTGAGACATGCATGTGCAACTCCACACACACACACACAGACACATCTAATATATACATATATATATATAGAGAGAGAGAGAGAGAGAGAGGCGTGTTTATTTTTATCACACTAGTATCCGACTCTCATTTTTGAAATTCAATTTTGCAGGGAAATCTGTCACTCTCAACAGAGTAAATAAATGAAAATGTCTTCTATCAACTCAAATGACAAATTATGTTTTCCTCTCTCATCTTCAACATATACCTTACCAGTTCATGTCAATACTTGTGATCAGCCTCATAATTCTTATCTCAGCTTGTTATATGAAGACATTAGTTGTGAACCATTCCAGTTCACCCAAGGACTGTCCACTACCATGAAGTCACATTGTGTCACTAAGCATTATGCTTGCTTAGACCCTCTAAGCAACTTCTCTGATCTTGGTGAAATTTCAGGGCAATCAATCAATAACCCTCCACAATATTGTGAGCCTTCATATCAAAATGCCTTACAAGTTCCTTTTGACAATTCCCGAGAGGAAGATGACTACTATTCACTGTCATCGTCTATAGTGTCGATGCCAAACCACCATGGTTCCGTCGGCAATACAAGTGCCACTGAAGGTTATAAGGATACAGAAACCCTAAGCAACTCCTCTAAAGTAGATGAAACTTCAGTTGAATCAACTAAGGGTCCTTTAGTACTACTGTGTGAGAATTCACATCAGAATGCTTTCGAAGTTCCCTATAACAATCCCCGAGACGATGATAACTATTCACTGTCAGCAGTAGTGTCAAGGGAAAGCAATATTTGTGGTTCTATTGGCAGCACAAGTGGAGGAAATAGAATAAGCAACACTAAAAGGAACCCTAGAAATCATCAACTGACTATGCAGATAAATCCAGAACTTACTAGGTTGGTGTCTCCTCTTCTCTCCTCATTTTCACCATCATTGCAAAAAAATTCAATCAAATAGCATTTACTATTAATGTGTCTTTGTGACTAGTTATAAAGGAAGAGATGGTGAAAATAATGGTGATGGGTCGGCCGGAGGACGTGTTGCAGAGCGCCACCAAGCACCCCGTCTAAAGCATTATCGGTCATATTCACAGAAAAGCTCAAAGTTCCGAGGAGTCTGTAGGCATGTTTCCGTCTTTTCAGCTATTAGTATGTTCCGTCTTTTTTTCTTTTTCTTTTTCCCCTTTTGACTGATATAATATTGATGCAGGTACGAGGGACATTATGAAGCATTTTTATGGTACAAACCTGATCCACAAATAAAAGGAAAAACAGGTCACCAAGATTTCTAGACCTTAAACCTCTATAAATATATATGCTCAGATGTGTTTTTTGATTCATTATTGTGATTTACTAATTCTTTTCTTTTCCAAACATGGTTCACTACTCTTTGCTTCCCATCTTGCAGTTTACATTGGTAAGTGAATCTATACACTTCCAGAATTTAAGTTATTGATCTTTTACCAAACAAAGAAAAACAAAATGACTTTTTTATTTTATTCCCCACCCCCAAATAGGTATGTAAACTCACACGCACACACCTGCCCTTCCAGTGAACCCCAAAACCTCCTCTTTGGGGAGGAGGAGGTCATACCTCTCGAGTTTCAAGTCAAGGCTTTGGTGGTCAAAAAAAGGTCAACTAACCTATGAAATGTCATCATATTATATAAAAACTAATGAATCTATATTTTTTTGAATATTTATTTATTTTACCATTTAATAACTCATAATCAACTCTACTTATTAGTCAGTGGATGAACATACCTCATTCTCTCAAAAAGCAAAATATCACACACAAATCACAGTAAACGAACTGATATATATATATATATAGCCATGATATTACACATGAAGCACGAGAGTGGCAGCGCCTCCCCGTAAAGAACAAGATTCTCCACCTGAAAGCACATATAGCACCATGCTTCTTTTCCCATGTCCAACTCAATGTTACTAATTTTGCATCATAATTTCTCCTATAATTTTTAAACAGGGGCTAGTGCCAATAACTTATATATATATATATAATTTTTATTATGTGAATGTAGTGGCAGTACCTTCTCTCAACATATTCCTCTCTCTCTCTCTCTCTCTCTCCTTTTTTTCTTTTCATCTCTGCCAGGAGGATTCACTTACGAAGAGGAAGCTGCCAGGGCTTACGATTTGGCAGCTATAAAGGTTTCGGGGGACTCAATAACAACAAATTTTCCTGTATGTTCTCTTTCATTCACTCATTTTTATCCTTCCGTCAGCACTCAACGTACTGCAATAACATTTTTCATTTGACTGCTAAATTTCTCTTAACATTTCTATTGTTGCAGCTAAAGGATTATGAGAATGAAATAAAGGAGATGAAGAACATGACAAGAGATGAATATCTGATCAGCCTTAGAAGGTAATGTTTCAATTAATGAAGGATGTGTCCATATGCACATTTCTATTGTTGGAACTCCATCAGTGTGGAAGGCAGTAAATAATGTATAGAAGACTTGGAAGTAATATAACATGGATTCTTAGAAGTTGTTGCAGGGATGTGACAGGGTGGAACTAAATCAAATGCTAGGGAAAAGGATCCAATGTCCAGGGTGCCAAACATGATGCATGATTTCATTTCAATAAATCATCAATTTTGACATTCAGTGTTCTTCACTCATTTCAATTCTTTGAATTCTAAGCAAGCTTCACTAATGACTTGGATTGTCCAAATGTGTTCTCATAATCAGTAATTCTTTTAAAAAAAATGGAATATATATTAACTACAGTTCAAACTTGTCGATTAATTTCAGGAAGAGTAAAGGCTTCTCCAAGGGAGTCTCTGCTTATCGTGGAGTTTCTAGGTAGTGCCTCTCTCTTCATAATGTCTATACATAAATAAATACACTTCCACCCGTTCTCTGTAAAAATTCCTACTTCTCACTTCTGCTTCCCAGTACAAATTTGGTAACAGAGTATTATCCATTGAACAGCCATTCGCTCACTCTTTCCATGTACAGGCTCTCAAGAAGGAATTCTAGCTATAAGAAATGGCAAGCTAGGTTAGGGGCAGGCCGGGGTTTGAAAGGTATTCACTTGGGACTTTTTGGTAAGTATAATTTTGACTATTGAATTGCACTTTTAGTATGATCATGATCATCACATATACATACACTTATATATATATATATATATGTTCATCACTTCTCAGATTTGATTAAAGTACAGACTCCATGCTTCTCTTTAAACACATACCAAACCCTAAAATGCATGCTAATAACATTCCATGCTAAAAGGATAAAGGAAATTTATCCCTTTTTCATTTGATATAACCATATAGATACAGAAGAAGCAGCAGCACAGGCCTATGACATTGCCGCCATTAGGTTAAAAGGCAAGGGTGCCATTACTAATTTTGATCTGAGAGACTACGACATTGAAAGCATTTACGAGAGCAAAAGGCTGCCAATTGGTGAAGGCGCTTCAAAAACACTAACGAAAAATTCAGTGGGTGATGTAATTTTCAGACAGAGAGATGTAAAGAAAGCTCCCATTCTCAGCTGCCAATATGGCAACTCTCAGGCCAACCCACAGATGCAATCCCTACCAACCTCGAACTACCAATGCCCAAGCTCCTCCTGTCTTCAGGACTACCAAAACCCTAAGTTTCAAACCAACCCTACCATTCTTCATGAGCTCCCTGGCACTGGAAGTGGACTGGAAACCAATAGTAAATTGAGAGGTAGCTTAAATGGAAGAGTTCCATCTAGAGAGGATCTGGCAAGAAATTCAACAATAAAAGGAACTGACAAGAATTCTGAAGATGGCTTTTGGGAAGAACTGCTAGAATTTGAACATGACCAGGCCCCGCCTGTTCAAGAGAACTGGATGTTGCAATTTTATCAGGATAACAGTTGTGTCACTCAGGTTCTGCATCAAAGTACTAGCTCTTCCTTTCATCGCGATCATCAAAACCCTAATTCTCAAACCAAGCCTCATCTCCTCCACAACTTGGCTGCCACCAAAAGTGGGTGGGGAACTGATGGAAATTCAAGTGATAGCCCTAATGGAGGTTTCCAAAGCAATGGGGTCTTACAGGGGAATTCAACTATCATGAAGAGCATGGCCAAGATATCCACCAGGGTAAGCCACAGTGAGTGTTGCATCAAGGGACTTACTGTGGATGAAAACCCGGTCCAACCAACATATGCAGAAACTGAAGACTGGATAGAAAGTTTAAACCTGGAAGAAGTTGAATTTAGCTTCGGTTTCAACTGGGGTGAGGGATGAATCTTTCCAATGCTGATGTGTGAAAGACTTGTTCAGACCATTAGCAGATTGGTCTAGTTTCATTACAGAAGATTTTGAGGCTCATTTGTTTGGATATAAAATATTTTTCAGAAAATATTTTTTTATTTTCTGGTGTTTGGTTTTTACGAAGAAAAAAAATATTAAAATTTAACAAAAATTACTTCTCCATCAATTTTCGAAAAGTTATTTTACATGTCCCGCCCAATGGACTCGACTTCAACCCCAACGTAAACTTTTGCTTAACACCAAAAAAATAAAAATTAAAGAATATTTTACCTGAGAACGTAACGAAACAAACGAGCCTGAATGTAAAAATTTTTTGTAATGTAAGTTCATATCAATATCGGGTCTTTTCTATTACTGTCTGATTGTTGTTTATATTAGAAAACACCATCACACTAAATCATATATTTCTCTGCACTTAATTTTTACGGCCATACAGCCTATCCAATTAGACACTAAGCCAGAATAATGCTAAACACAGATAACGAGGCTGCAAGTGCAAATTTGAGAAGAAATTTATCATATGCCAAAAACTCCTATGCATAATTAAAAAAGAATCAATTACTCATTAGTAGAATTAAAATTTAAGAGCTAGTTTCTAATTAAACTATGAATCCGACATACTATTCAACAACAAAAGGAGTCTAGAATTTAATAAATTTATCTCTCATCAACAAAAAAGAAATTCATGGATAATCCAAAAATTAACAATTACAAGCGCAATTAATTACGCTTAAAAAACAAGATCAACTCAGTTTCACAGTTAAGATTTTATTTGAACTACACCACAAAAACATATCAACACATCATGAAACCCTAATATATGACCCGAAATGCAGCGGAAAGCAAAATTAGGGCAGAGCCAAAGTATTCATACCGAAGATCAGATAAAAGATCACTGAGATTCATCAGAGAGTGCCATCTTCTGGGATTCGAGGCGTTCAAGGGCTTTCTGGTGGGCCCACGTCTCGATGGTGAGATCGGGCTTGGCGCTGAGACCCACGCCGAGGATGACAATGGTTAAGAAGCTGGTGATGTAGCAGGGTAGCTCCCAGTCTTCCCATTTCCTGGATTGGCCCGGCGGCGGTGGGGTCCGATTAAAGAGATAGCCGTTGGGTCGCTCCTGGTGGCCCGGGCTCGTCCACTGGCTAGGCCCATCTCCTCCGCCCCCGCGTGTGCGGATCGTCGAGGTCAGGCGGCTTCGGAGCATCCCTGCGGCAGTGGCGAAGCGTTTTGGGGACGCCATTGTTGGGTTAGAGAGAGAAACAAAGTGGAGAGAGAGGGAGACGGGCACTTCGGTCTGTTTTGTAGGATCACAGTCACACTTACAAACACGACGTCGTTTTTTCGGTATTCAATCCTTGATTAAACTATTATCACGCAGTATTATTTTCCTGGCAGGAAAAGAGAGGGGTGAGTCGATCATAGCTCATAGGTCGTATGGTGTTGTACTAAACCACTCAATCAAACACGATTTGTTTAATAATTATGTCAGACACCATCAATATTGATCCGACCTATTTATTAAACGAGTTTAATCATTTATTTATTAAAATAAAACATAACTTTGTTTAGATCATTAATAATATTCAATCAAAAATAAAAATATTTTTCAATCCAATCAAATTATTAAATAATCTCTAATTCACAGAAGAAAAAATCGTTTAGATAATTATTTTAAAATTTAAATAAAAATTTGTTTATGACACGCATAGTTAAACGGGTTTAACTCATCAATCCTAACACTGCACGATTAATTAAACGAGTTAATCGTGTCGATCTGTTTACGATCCGAACTTATTTAAGGTCAACACAAACCCGCTTAATTCGTATTGTGTTCAAATCATATTAACAGATCGTGTCAAATTTTGTCACTCCTAGCCGAACATAAAATTACACACACCATTCAAGAAAAATATTTACTAACTGAGTTACTTGACTCACCACCCAATTAATTAACTTATTAGCTCTAAGTTGTGTAGCCAAATAACATGTGCCCTTCCAATCAAAGTTTATTTCTCCTCCCAAAAGAGAGAGTGATGGTTCAAAATAGGGATAAGATATTAGGTGAATCGCATGCATGCCCACCGAATCAACATGCCCTGTTAAAATGAAGAATGTTGATTCAATATATAAACTTCCCATAGGGACAGATGGGAATTTCTCGTATGAGGATCCCAATAATCTATACGGGCACATGAATCTACAAACACAAGTGCACAGACATGGTAGGGTGACTTCATTCCCCTTCTTTGATTGGGGTTCACATATCTCAAACTACAATAATGATTTGTTGGCTGAATATAACCATTGTAATGGAGAGATGTGGATTCCCCTTCTATTTAATAAGAAAGGGTAATAATTCTCAGGTCTAAAGCTCTTATCCACTTAAATTTGGAAAAACAAGAGTCATTGAGAAACAAATTGACAAATTTCATTGAAAACAGTTTGGTTATTAATTTCATTGGGTGTTGAACTTCAATGGCCGTGTTAATATCGTTGAGTATAAAATTAGTTCTGATTTGATTTAAGAAAAAGATTAATTTGTTATTTTACTAATTCTAGTTGCAAATAAAATTTAAAATTGAAATTAAAACTAAAATAAGTGAGAAATATCAGAGAGAGAGAGAGAGAATATAGGATAGTGACTTCCCTACCATCCTTATATATATTTACAAGTCATGATTATATTAAGAAAATACTCATATAATCAAAAGTGAGAAATATGAGAGAGAGAGAATCTAGGATAGTGACTTCACTACCATCCTTATGTATATTTACGAGTCATGTAATTATAAGCTAATGATGATTATATTAAGAAGATATTCATATAATCAAGCAATAAGTATAACTTATATTCGGTTGGCACAAATTATCTGCCTAACTACTCTACATTAAGGTGTAGCACAATTTGTCTTTCCTAGATATGCATTTCCAAAACACTCGTTTATGTAATTGGTGAAGACCATTGCATGATCATTCCTTTCATAATCACATAAAACAAAAGTAATTTGATTTCAATTAAAACAAAGTCAATTCTAAGACAAAAGTACAATTTTATTAAAACTGAATTTAAACATTAAAATTCAATTGCTTAGTATTACTAACTCAATTGCTCGAATTTGTGATGTTCGTCACCAAAGATATGTCAGCTGGTAACTTTAATTCCATTCCCAGTAATTGAGGTTTGATCATATGGAGAAAAAAAAAAACTATATTAGACTATATTAAGAAAAAGAAAATATATATATAGAATCATTCCATTGTTCATTTAAATTATTTGTTGGGGTTAATGCAGGTAGTAAGGGTTAATGCTGGAACCCCTGAACTTCTTATGAAAAAAAAAACTACAAACTTCGTTGGTAATTCGTACAAGGACCCCAATAATCTATACAAGCACACGAAGCTACAAACACACAAGTGCATAGAGAGAGATCATCACTGCATTCCCTGGTGAGTGCATTCCCATTCTGTGACTGGCATATTTATGTTTAATAAGAAACAGTCCTCTCTGTGTACTGGCGGTGTGGTTGGTTCATGTTCATCCGAAAACAATGTACTTCCCGCTATTTAGCTTTTAAGAAATATTATTGGAAGCACAAGCTATCTATGCAGAGCCTCGAGGATAATTCATTCGTTGGAAAGAAAGCAGAGAGCAGCAGGAGAAACTCTGGCACTTCTATGAGCACAGATAAAGATGCTTCCATCTTTTGTCATGTTATTTGCCAACAGCTGCCACCATCGCTGTGGTTGTCTTCATCATCTCATCCATCTATAGAACTAGAATATAGAGTCATGCACAAATAGCAAAAACCCAATGCAAAAGAGCACCTGATTTATCTTCAAATTGGCATTGGAACCAATGATACCTCAGTCAAGAATTATATATAAAAAAAAAAAAAATCACCAGTAGTCGCCACATGAGCAGATTCCTCCAGCAATATGATGGAATCGATTTTTATCCCTCAGAGAAACTTCTCTACTATAAACCTTAGAGACAAACTTTGCAAAATTATGGCAATCAACACAAATGCGGAGGTTTTTCATGACCAGGACGGGCTTTCCTTCAGGAGTGCCTATCAACCCAAACGCCAAGGCCAATTTTTCGCTGTGGCCTAGGAGTATTTTCTCCTTCTGCTCCTCATCCACATCGTGTAAAACACAACTTAAATCAGGAACATAACCAGCTTCCTTAATCTTGACCAATAATTCTCTCACCTTTGCAAATACCTCTTCCTTTCTTGGATGAGATCGATCACTCGCATGAAAAGTATGAAGGGTTTGGTTAAGTTCAATCCAGCTCCTTCCCGGCTCCTTTGTCACTGCCTTCTCACTCATTAATTCACGTAAACTTCTTACATCTTCCCATCTCCCTGCAGAAGCATATAAATTAGAAAGGATAACATAGTTTCCAGCATTTTCAGGCTCAATTTCTAAAAGCCGATTAGCCACATGTTCCCCAATATCAACATTTTGGTGAACCCTACAAGCACCTAAAAGTGGACCCCAAATAGCAGCAGTTGGTTCAAAAGGCATACTTTTGATAAATTCAAAAGCCTTTTCTACCTGGCCCGCACGGCCAAGCAAATCAACAACACACCCGTAATGCTCTATCTCTGGCTCAACCCCCTCTTTGCCGCTCACCATCTCATCAAAAACTTCCAGCCCTCTATCTTCCATCCCTCCATGGCTGCAACCAGATAAAACAGCCAGAAAAGTAATCCTATCAGGTTTAACATTATTTTCTTCTCTCATAAATTTGAAAAGGTCAACCACCGCTGGTCCCATCCCATGTTTACCATACCCCGCAAGCATTGCATTCCATGATATGACAGTTCTCTCAGACATGTTATCAAAGATCCTTCTTGAGTAAGTAAGATTTCCACATTTTGAATACATATCAATTAGAGAATTCTCAAGAACCACGTAGGAGGGCAGTTCAGACCGTAAGACATGACTGTGAACTTGCTTGCCATGATCAATAGCAGCAAGCCCAGATAATGCAGTCAAAACACTGGCATAAGTAACAAAGTTAGAGGCCATTCCTTCCCTCTGCAACCTACGGAAGAGCTCTAGTGCCTCTTCATCAAGACCCAGTTGGGCATAGCCTGAGATTATAGCAGTGCAGGAAACAACATCCCTTTCCGGTAAGCTTTCAAAAACTCCTCGAGCTTCATGGATTTTACCAGATTTGGCATACATGTCAAGAAGTGAGCTGCCAACGTATATGTTGGATTCAAATATACCCTTGATTATAAGAGAGTGTATTTGCCTTCCATGGTTAAACCCAAGAGCACCAGTACAAGAAGTAAGCACGGTTGCAAAAGTGAACCCATTTGGCATCGTACCTACAAAATTTCCAAGTCACAAATGCACTGGAATAACTAGTTTTACATTACCAGTCTAGTAGTGTTTCTAACAGACTAAAATCAGCATCAGCCATCTAACCACTCCACCTATTGGTTTTAGTGTGGCAATTGAACTTTCAGGGATAGTTAGAAAGCACATGGAGTTAACATCATTCTAGTTTGTCATACCACGGGTTTTTTTCTTATCATTATTATTCCCATATTAAAAGGGACTATTTCCAAAAACCAAGGATTGGCACGTCTAAAGATAGTTTGTTCATATGCTATAGGGCCAATCCATTCATTGTGGTTTCTGTAGGACCTAACATGTAAATTTATCTATGCTATGTGACTATGTCCAACAACTATATTGATGCGTACTTTTAATTTTTCTTTTTTGACACTTTTTTGTTCAATAACGTTTGTTGATAATATAGAAAAGAACGGCCATCTTATCCGCAGGGAAGCTGGTTATCTAATCAACTAGGAAAACATTTCAAAACTTGGCGGATTGAAGGAAAAGTATAATAAGTGCATTTATCTTCTTCCAAGTAATTCAATTAATTTTGGATGGTCTGCCAGCTAGTTCGCATTATATAAAATGGGAGACTAACGCATCAAATTCAAAAGGTAAAACTTGGTCATTTTTCATGGTTGGACCAACATTCTAGCGAAGTCATACAACACAACATAAAGCAGAGAATGTAGAACATAGATTCCCCGAAGAATACCTGATCTTAACATCTTTACAAAAAGAGACAAAGCTTCAGAGGCATACCCTCTCTGAGAATAAGCCGAGATCATCGCGGTCCAAGAAACAACATTCTTTTCAGGCATTTCATCGAGCACTTGCCTTGCATCACCCAAACACTCGCACTTAGCATAGAACACGATTAGCCTTGTTCGGAGGTACACAGGTGGGAGATAATGGGTTGTGATCATGTGGGCATGGACTCTTTGTCCTTCTCTAATGGCCCTTTGCTTTACGCACTCGTTTAAGATCGTGTCGTAGCCTTCGAACTTCATTTCGCGGCCTTGATTGACCATTTCTAATAAGGCTTGTTTGAGTTGACCATTGGAGATGAGAGTTTTAAATTTCGATGGATTTGGAGGGAAAGAAGGGAGGGTAAATTGGCGGGTGAATGTGTTGAATATAGAAGAAAATACATGTTTGGGTTGATGGGAAAAGTCTATGATTTTCCAGAGCATTTTCTAGTTCACAAGTGACGGTTATTTGGCATGTTTTTTTTTTTACCAAGAAAGCTGTAAATTGAGGTCAGAATTCTATGATACGAGTTCTTGGAGACCCATCACAAAAAAAAAAAAAAAAAAAAAAATGAGGTCATTTTGAATTCATTGGGGATTTTGGGGGCAAAAAGGATAATAACACGAATCTATGAGTCAAACTCTTTTTAAATAATTAAATATATATATATATATTTTAAAACGTGACTCCTGTTACGAAAAATTTCTCCTCGTAGTATTATTCTATCAATTCTGTTTAAATTTTCTTAAAAATTAATTCACAAAAATAAATTTAAATTCATTGCATCTTCAAGTTGAATTTTTTGTGCCAAGCTTGGATGCAAGTATGAATGTGGCGATTTTATTTATGACGGTTTTAAGGGATCGTTTAATTTATTTGGGTAGGATGATTTTTATAAATAAAAATATGAACGAGTTCAAGGCGATGGTGGGAGAGGTCCAGTTTAGATTGATAAATTACTAAATTACTCTTATTTTATTAATATATATACATAGCATTAGAAACCCTCAGGGCTATTCAGCTAATACTTTTAATTTGTACTTTTTTGCTTTTGCTAATATACTTTCACGAACAAAAGCACAAAGCATGTCTGGTAACGTTTTCTGTCATTCGAATAGTATCGAAGCGCTTCCGAAATTTAAACCAAAATCGAATAGTACCGAAACGCTTCCGAAATTGAGACCAAAATCGGAAGCATTTGGTTCCACATTGTAGCAAAGCAATATATATATATATATATACACACACACACACACACACACACACACACACACACACACACGTAGTATATTTTTAACTAGTCATTCAAAATTTTAAACTTGGAAAACTTTTTACCAAACTTGTTTTTATGTTTTTGCTTCCAAAAATCTTGCAATAAATTTACGTTACCAAACAAATTTTGAAATAGTATTAAACACACCCTAAAGCATAAACATTATTTCTGCCGCTTTGGGTCCAAACAAAAACACGAAACAAAAGTGATTGTCAAAGTATTGTATTCTCATTCAATATTTGTAATGTGGAATTTTATGTTAAAGTATTGATAGACATTTTTTTTATGAATTTTTAATAGTTATATAATTGCATTTGTGGATAAAAAAAGTCAAAATAAAAAATATATATATATTCTAGAACTAAATGGGACAGACAGGGTGAAAAGTTAAAATGGGATGAAAATATCCCGTTTAGTCAGTTTTGGGCCCTCCCCACCCCGTTGCCAGCCCTTAAATGTGATGGTATGATATGCTGGTCTCATGTTTTCATAGTAAACCATCTTATGGTTGAAATCATTTCGGCTCATGCAGTAGTCTACGACAAAAAAAATAAGTAGAGATAGATCTTGTTCAAAGCTTCTATTGCCTCAACGTGTAGAAAAGTATTTAGCATCTAGCTCCTGAGGCGATTTTGACCCTTGTATGATTATTATTATTATATTGAATGCTTGGAACCTTAACAAGGAAAGAAGAATTCATGCTCAACAAAGGGGAAAATAGAAGAAATAAACGTGTTATTCATATCCCTATCTTTTAGCCCTAAACCGTTCCGATAGTCGAGTAAAAACTTGTTCTGTGTTTATACAGTATGGATCAATCAACCATGGAAGTATCAAGATTGAATGACCCTACAAGTTAGTATTATAAAATATATAACAAAAATACCATACTTAATTTTCTCCTCTTCAGCTGAGATAACTCTGGATTTCTGACTGAACTCTGTTAAATACAAGACAGTTAAACCCGAGTTGAATGTTGAGACCTCTCTACTCCCTGCTTAACTGCTACTACTATCTTCGATATATACACTGGAGCTTCCATCAGAGCTTCATAGCTCCATTTTCAGTTGATTCGAGAGCAGAGATGCTGTGCCAGCATAACGATTTAAAATTAATCTCCAGTTTATGAATGTTCTTATTGAAAAACAAGAAGGAAAAATATCTCATAAACTGCACTAACAGGGCGAGTGCTCATGGTAATCTAGTATCCAATTAAAGGCACTTCTGAAAACATCAAAAAAAAAAAATTGTTTCTTCTTCCCTTTTACTTTTAGTTTGTCTAACTAATAATTTGTTTGTTATGATAGCTAAGAGCACAGAATATAAGGATCTCTTTCCAATGTACTTCTCTAAACTCCCTAATATTAGAGCATCAATATTCGATGCTTGGAAATCTTAGAGCAGTAGAATATACGTGCCTTCCTCTCATCCCAAGTGTGAACCTACTGGCTAACGGCTAGCGCAAACAATCCTCTTATTTATTTCAAAAAGAGGCACATGAACAATGGCCTTGCAATTTACCTGAATTTGCTGAAGAGCTGTAACTGAGGTGCGAGCTCCCTGGAGTTGGGAAGTTAGGATTGTCTTTTTCTCTACCCCAAACTGGCTGATGAAGTCCATCAAAATACCATAGCTGCTGATTCTGCTGTCTGTTCCCATTATCCTGCACTTCAGGCCACGTCAGTGGCATAACCACACTAGGGTTACTGTCCATTAGAGATCCACTCTGCAGTTTTTAAAAGGAGAAAAAAAATATTAAATGATCAATGGGACAAAATAAAGAAAGACTGTCTTAACTTGTTTTAAAAGTGAACCAGTCTATTTGCAAGAGTTGTCCAGCAGTACAATTGCATTACAATTACTATAGTCTCTACCTTGACCGAATAAATTCTTTGGCGACATGGAATAGTTTTGAAGAATTTGAAATGTGTCCATATAGTCACATGATATCCTCTTCTTTTTCCCTATCCTCCTCTTCTATCGAAAGTATCTAATGTTGCCCACTCAACAACCAGTGGACATACACTGAGTAATGTCTACTATCTATTCCCTCTTGACTTTGAACAATCACCAATGTCATACCACACCATGGTATTTGAGGAGTATTTTGTCATTCCAAATAAAAAGAAACAACCAAGTGACACCACTTCAACATGTCTACCTTAAGAACTAAACAAACTGCAAGAATTCTCCTCAAAATGCCATGGGGAGAAGTGGTTACAAAGTGCAAGAATTACATGTAGGTTGATCATATAGAGGATAGCTGCCCATCCTTCCATGTGCAGAGCCTTAACGAGGGACCCACTAGTCTCAAAGAGCCCCACAAAAGGAACTCCTATGGCAAATAGCATTAAGATATTGTGATGGTTACTATTTTTGTTGATGCATTCTGATGAAAAGTTAGAGATGTAAATGTGAACAAATGGTAGATAGCATAGGTGGTCCAATCTGATCCCCTGCTCTGCCCACACTGAAGGTAGAAAACTGTACTCAAAATCTGCAGGGCTTTTTGAGAAAGATCCATAAAAGAATTCCAAGAATATAGTACTTCGCATTCCATTTGCCTAATAAAGTTTCCAAATAGCTGATCGTTGGGTGTTACTTAGAATATAAGCAAGAAAGGTGTCCTAAAAAGTTAATGCCTCAAGAGTACCTACTGGTGCCAGCTCAAACCAAGGCACTACTACAAGGGTAAAGCTTTTCTTAAATAGTTAGTTGAAAGTAACATAAAATTGCCTATGAACCTCGATTAGCAAAATCTCACTATAGAGAACTAAGAAAAAGGGTTGCATCATACTTACTTCTGCAGCCAGTAGACTGCCAAGGTTGAAATCAATTATTGGGTTGACCGCAGCAAGTCTCATTGATAAGAACTGAAAAACAAATATACTGTCAGAAAGAAAATCAAAGCAATAAGAATAATATGATTTAATTACCCATGAAGATTTCCAAGTGATTGAACTTCACTCCAATTTTCAGAGTTACTTAATTTCAAGTCCACTGCAGGGTCTGGAAGGATCTAAATTGTGATACATAAAGAGACAGAGTCATAACATATTTTTCCTTTTTTCTTATAACCAAGTAAGCATCTAGAATCCATTCCCCCTTCCCCAAGACCAACCAAAAAAGAATCTCACAAAAACGAATAAAAATTTGACAAAGCAATATTTTGGGGCCGGATACAGAAGCAGGTCTTGCATTTCGCCATCAGACATCAATCAGCAAGATTTTCACAAAATTAGTCTTTGATTGCATCGTTTTACATTTACATATCAGATACAAATGATGTGTAGGTCTGACCTCCACTTGATGTTGTAGGGACTGTACATGGTTGATAATCTCATCAAGCACCATCGCTGTACCTTGAATCTGCAAAAGCAGTTTTTTGTAAATTATTCACATGCAAAATGGAGATACTCAAAGTTATTGGAAATTTTTAACTCGAGAGACTTGTGTAGATAATTAATTTATTGAAGGTGCCATGTAATGAACAACGGACTGATGATAAATTCAACTTCCTCTAATCTAAAGAATTAAACATAATGAGTGGGCACTGGAAGCTTTCTGTCACCTGCAAGTCAGGGCTGCAAATGAGCCGAGCCGTTCGCAAACTGCTCGGGCTCGGCTCGTTAATTACTCAGCTCAATCTCACTTCATTTATAAATGAACCAAGCTCGAGCCGAATTCTCAGGCTCGATTCATAAACGATCTGAGCCTGAACATCAGTAAGCTCGGCTCGTTTGTTCATGAACCGTTCACGAACTGAGCTCGATAAAGCGTTCACAAACACACTCGATTATAATATATATATACACACACACACACACACACACACATATCCAATTATAATATATAATTTTATGTTATGAAGGTTTAGTCCACATACCCATTAAATTTTTTAGTTATGTTTTAGACCCAATTTTATCATTTATTCATTTTAAAACAAAAACCAAGCCCATCTGTACAATCAAACACAAGCCCTGTACAACCAAACCTAAGCCCATGTCTTATGTCTAACCCTAATCATCTTTCTTTTTTCTAAAATTATCAGTAGCCCAAGTAACAGCGGCAACACACTCAACAATTTGCTATCATGGAATCTTACTTCTCTCTCTTTCTCTTCTTATATTTGATTTTTATGTAGTAATTGTCTTTCATCCAAACTAATTTTTAGTATAGATTTTGGGGTTTACTATTGATCTGTGCATCTCTCAACTTCTTCCATCAAAATCAATTCTGGTAAGTTTAATTTTCGATCAAATTTATCACTTTCTTTCTCTTTTTCTCTCAAACTTCTCTCTTTTTATTGCTGCAAATCTATCTCTAAATTTATTTTTTATTTTTTATCTTTTGTTCTAGATTTGTTAGATGCAAAATACAAAAATAAAATAAAATAATTAAAAATAAAAAATAAAAAAATTAAATAGCTTGAGCTCGGCTCGAGGCTCGTCGAACAAAGCCAAGCCGAGCCGAGCCGAGCCGAGCTTGAACCAAAATTTCTCGGCTCGGTTCGAGCTTGAGCATTCTATCACTTGAGCCGAGCCGAGCTCGAGCACACCATGGCTCGGCTCGATTGCAGCCCTATGCAAGAGAGGACCTCAATGGGGACTAAGGGACCCCCCCACCACCACTGAAGTATAAAGAAACCTAAATTTGGATTCTTTTTTACGTTATTTTTTGAAGCACCCATTTGAAAGAAAAAATAAAAATAAAAAATAATATAATGAGTACTTGTATTTTTTTTTCTAAGAGATTATGAAGTACTTTTAATTTATAAATAATTGTGTACATCTTTGTTCAGTATCTATCTTCTTTTATATATAAATGTATAATTAGTATTTATAACTTCTTTTACTATGAAGTACTACTGATATTGTTTATATAATATATATATATATATATATATATATATATGTATATGTATATTTTTTAATTATACAACTTCGCATTTTATTTTCATATTACTAAATCGGCCCCCCAACACCCCTGATCACCTGCCATATGTCAGGTCTTTGAATTGAAATTTGATAGAACCTCCATCAGCTGAATTGGGTAGATATGTAATATTAAATAGGCATTTGTAGCAACAGTGTACATGCCTAATGATTAGAATATATATTAGCAAGTTACAGCAGGCTACCAACAGGCTGACTAACAAATTTATTCAGGGCCACGTATGGGTTCAATCACCAATCTTAGAGCTTCAAATGATTAACACATCACAACAAGCAAAATTACATAAAAGATGCGAACAACATATATGTGTGTGCATATATATATATATAAAGTTCTCAATATAAGAGTTGAAGAGGGTGATATTAGCTAACTTTAAAAGAATGAATTTGAGGTTGTGCACTCCCAAATTAGTGCAGATTGAAACAACTATTAGAGCAACAAAGTAAGTGGTTAGACCCGAAGTGTCTCCTGAAACTGGCCAGGGATGAAACAAAGACACTCAAAAATCCTGTGGAATGTAAGAGAACTGTGTTAAGCATAAAAGGTCCCTCAAATTTGCCTAATCCAGAAGTTAGTACTAGAGATAACATGCTACTATGCTGCACAGATTGCATCAGTATCAACTTTAAATCTGCCAGTAAAGTCTGGGTGTTGTACATGCTCAACTGATCGAAGAAATCTTTTTTCTTTAAGTAACTGATCGAAGAAATCCAAACTCCAGAGGTATAATGTGGGTGCAAACAGAGCTGACAACACTTATAGTTACAAATTTTCAGCCATAAGAAGTGTTACATCTAAATTTTAAAAGCATGGTTAATTGTCCCAGAAAAGGAAGACTGTGTATTAGCTTTAATGATTCAATCTCAGTTTGTCTGGGTCTTTCTTTTCTTTTAACAGAAAAAATGTTCAAAAACTTTGAAGCATCACTAAACGAATTTATCAAATCTTTTCTATGGTTTGGTCTGGGCCATAGCTGATTCATTTTGTGAATTGCGCTAGGAAGTGTTCTTATGTCATCCCATCAAAAATAGATGCCTAAGTTATAAATGTTTGAACTTTGAAGCATACATGTCCTGAAGGCCAGATAGAAAATCTTGAATCACAAGTTGATGAAATCAAAATACCCCTAGAAGATGGGACGGTACAGCCATCTGACTTAACTTTCACACTACATGTGTTCGCAGAGTGCTTCAGTGCAGCATGCAGCTAGCACTCCCCGACAACTGATTTTTCAAGCCTACCCCATGAAGGGCATTCTTTAATTTAAAAAACAAATAGCTAGTTGAGTCTAACAAAGTTGGATTTTAATACTTAAAAGTGAACCATACTTGATACCACAAATATCATGTCAACAAAATGGAATTAATTTCTTCATTTCTACTGCTAGTTATGTGGTAAGAAGTTGTACCATTTCCTATTCTTCGAAGTCCTAGATTTTTTTTACCTATACTGCTAGGCAATACCTTCCCTATTCTCTTTTTATTTTTTGGATAATCAGTTTTGGTATAAAAAAAAAATATAGAGATTCACTAGGGTATAATTAGGGGGAAACGAGTAAACAGTCATTCAAAAAAGTTCATTAAAAAGTGTAATAATTTAAATTGACAAAAAAGAGCTTAAAAGTGGGAGAATTTTTTATTTATTTCTTTTTTGGAAGTTAAAAAATGTAGAATTACAAAAGTACCATTCTCCAGTTTCGATTCCATCAAATTAGTCATACAACCTACAAAAAAAATTGTGAAATGGAATGCATTTCTTAATATATTTTGTAGGTGCTTCCCGATGGAACCGGTCAAGCGGCCCACTGGAGAGGATTTTGGTCCCTCCAAAACTGCTACAAACTTTTCTGGGTGCAAAAGTGACTACTTTTTGTTTAAAAGGTGATAATGACACCATCGTTATTAAAGCAAAAGGTAGAAAGATTTTCTTTACATAATCCCAGATTTAAGGGAATCATCGCATAATTAGATATAAATAAATCCAAAAAGGACAGCTAACCTTGTCGCATCCGGGGACCAGTTCCTGAAGTAGCTTCATCCGAGCATTAATCTTCTCTCTCCTCGCCTGTAATTAAATACTACTAATTATCAATTAATAACTTAAATATAATCTCTATTTAGTTATTGTGATAATCATGAGATTACTCTTTCCGCTAAGCTATGGCTATCTGTCGCTTGGCCGCGTCGAGCTCGAACGTGAACGTACGGAAGCTTCTCACCATCTTCAGATGACTCATTTGCAACGCTTTTGCTCTTTTTGGTCGAGCCTTTAACCTAATTTCACAAAAAAATAGTGACCGAGTTATTTGCAAAAATATCAATTACTAAATAGAGGAAACCCTAATTCGGAGTATTACCTTATTTTCTGGCTCCTTTCGCTTTGTTGATCTTTGATTCCGGTTGGGAAATGAGTCAGGTTTTGAGTCTAACTCTGCCGATTCTTGTTTTATTTTATGCAAATTCGACGGAACTGAGCTCGTCTCCAGTGAGTTCTCCGAGAAGACTGAGAACCTTGAAACTTGGTCAAGTAGAGCGGTGTTAGACGGAAACGGCGGAATGCAATTCAGTGAGTGAAGACTGTCGGGTTTGTGATGATCGATTCGACTGTTACGCCATACTTCATCGGAAATCTCCGCCGGAGCTTCCTCGGAATCCGCCGAATTTAGGGGCGACGTGGATTGATTCTCCAGAAGTTGAAGAAGAGCAGTGAAGGAACTACCAATTTCGGGTGGTACGGACATTAATCTTTGAATTTCATATCCGGACTGAAAGGATTTGCCCCTATTTTGTTCGGATTTGTCTCCGCAACTCGCGGATCTAACCTTAATACCTTCAAATTGGTCCATAAACGGTTTAATCCAACCAAAATAAGCACAAAATCGACCAAACAAGAGCTCGATTGAAAAGTTCTAATTTAACTCAAACAAACCCTGAACAAACCCTGTCAATAAGCAGATTCGAAACTCCCTTACGGAAATGACCGTTTGGAGAGACGAAGCAGCCAGACAGTACTTTTTCCCGTAAGAGAAACAGAAATCCTCCGTTCTCTGAAGAATTGTATAAAGGTGCCAATTTAATGGCTGCCAATCACTTACTCTCTCTCTCTTTCTCTAAAAGATTGATTTCTTGCTTGCAGGCATTTGGAGTCCTGCGAAAGCAACGTTGCTTTGGTTTCTGCTCGGTTCGCTCTGTCAACGTACTGCAATACTAATAGTAGAGAAAGAAACAGGTACCTTTCTGAGAGAAAACTGAAGCCGCAGGAGCGTAGCCGTAAAGGCGTAAAGTCACTGCTTACTAGTTGCATTGCCGAAGTGTGGGGACCAGACACCAACTGAGCCCGACACATTATTTAATCCTGGTGGAGTGAAAGGTCATTTTCTTGCATTTATAGGCAAGAATCAAGTATTTTTTTGTTTTTTTTTTCTTTTGGTGCCAATAAGTGATAACATTTACCATCGATCTTTTACATTGACAAATTTGTCCATTGAAATGTCATAAATACCCATAAATTTTTAATTCGATTTATTCAGAAACATTTCAAATGATGAAATCGTGAAATAGTTGGATAACCACGTACAAACCCTCACCAGTACTCGTGCAGTTTCTCATTCACACCGCTGTGAACTCTGATGTTGCCTTTGGTATGCAAGAATAAAATAAAATGGAATACATATTTCAATCTATTTCACAGTTTAGGATGTAATTTAAAGTGGGAATGGCCATTCCAACAGAATAAAAATCTATTCAATAACTAAACTTATGAAATGGTCATTTCATTCCCAAGTAATTTTTTAAAAAAATCAACTTCCTAAAAAACACTCATATTCCAAATCTAAAAATCATCAATATTTTCCACCACAACTGCCATCAACTTTCATCACCACCCACCGTTTTCCACTACGGCCACCGATTTTCACCACTATTCACCATTTCCACTACTGCTACCACCTTTCATTACCCACACCACCTACCATTGCCGTCACTACCGCCTTTCACCACCATTACTGCTACAATCACCACATTCCATTACCGCCGCCACCACCGCCGCCATCACCTTTCACCATCTTCCACCGCCGACACCATCGCCCTTCACCACTTTCCATCACCACAACCGCTACCTCCTTCCAGCACCACCACAATCACCTCCATTGACTTCCACCACCGTCACCTACACCAATATTTCCTTCCACCACCACTAACACTTTTGTCACCGCCTTCCACCACTGCTGCCTTTCACCAACACCTCCGCTTTCCACCATTGCCACCGCCGCCACCGCCACCGCCTTCCAACACCACTATCGCTTTCCACCTCTGTGATACCCCTCGATTCTAGAGCCACGGGTGATCAAGTCCGAGCACAGATCCGAGGGATATCAGACAATTAATATGTAAACAAGCAGGAATAAAATTTGAATTAAAATTAAAATAACAAAACGCTGAAAGAATTCTAAAATAAAAATCCTCAACTTAAGATAATAAAATTAATAACATTTAAATCCTTCAAATATGTACAACTCGGGAATCCACCTAGTGGACCCCTAATCCCAAATCCTTGAATAAATTTACAATATTAAAATCCAAAACCAAAATAGAAAGGAAATCATATGTAACCGGAAGAGTGAGTGTCCGTATCTGCATCAACACGATCAATCTTTAAGCCTGGTACTGGAGAATACCTGAAAAATAAAGGAGTGGGTCAGGCCCACATGCAAGTCTTGATCTACTACGATCCAAACAGGAATTCGATACGCAGATACATCTTAGATAGACTAAACAATATCTAGAATAGTCCATATATGTATATATTACACACTATAGGACGCTCACTAGTCCAATAGGTATGTCTCAGCCTAAATAGAAATACCATGCAAATCGCACGTAATGTGGTCATGTGTACCTAGACCTACCAGGGAACAAAACCACTGTCCAGTTATCCATCTTAGGCGATATACGCACCCTAACCATGGTCCTGAGACTCAAGCTCATACTATGGCACCATAACATATATATATATAATGTCCGTTCAAAGTGTGTCATTCAAAAAGCTTATTGACCTGACACAAAGTTATAAGTAGGACTTAACCTTTGTAGTTAATCCATCTTATTTCAGAATAGGTAGGTCTTAGTATTTTTTTTAAAATTAAGCCATCCCTAATATGTCACCGTCCCATACCAGTGCATATACATCCATACAAGTAGAACTTAACTTTTTTAATTAATTCAACTTATTCCAAAATAGGTAGGAGTTAATATTTTAACTAATCTGTCCCTAATATGCCACCGTCCCATACCGGTGCATACAACCCTCCAAATAGCATAGTTTACAAATAACACAATGTATTCAACAACCATTCTCCAAAATATGTATCACTATAATCTAAATACATATATATCAACATTAGGCATTCATTATAAGGCCTAACTATAACATTCCAATAATGTAAACTGCCAAAATAATCTAAGCATTCACATTCCCCAACTTGTACATAAATCGATGCAGTTCCGTAGCAAGGTGTATATAAATTTGGTCCAACATAAATATAGTTAAACATGGGTGTAACTAAGTCATGCCTCCACTGAAAGACTTAGAACCCAAGTTTCAGTCCATTAAATTGATATAACAGGTTTATGCAACTTCCTTCTCCAAACAGTACTATAATTGTGCATTTATGTACTGAATTAAGCATCAGACTATTCCAAACAGACATACACATAATTGAATAACAACCTGCTTATAACAGAGCTGCTAACCATGCTTCAAAACCTAAGAACACGTAAAGAAATCAAATCTCTTCCAGACAGTGTTGTAGCAAATGAGATATATAATAGATTTAAGCTATCAGTCAATCACAACCAAGCATACATGTATTTAAATAACATAATGTTCATAACTCAACTACAGATCATAATTCAAAACTTAAGACCATGCAAAGAAAACAAATTGCACATCAGTCTACAACACAAGCCATTGCACATCAGTCTACAACACAAGCCAGTTGCTCCCTTAACCACATTTAGACCTTTGATCAAACTGATGTTAATTCTATCCCAGATTCGGAATGTAAGCTTGGTTCTTAATTATTTCATACATCATAAGTAGTGTATTACCTCACTCAACAGCCTTTAAACCATTCCAGAAACCCAGACTCAGCCAAACAAAACATGAAATTTCAGTTTTACGCATCTTTAAGAGAAAGAGAAGGCTCCAAGTTTCTCAGAGCCTTCTCCACTTTAGGAGAGCTGGCTCCCCTTCCTTGGGAGCCGGATCTAGATGGGTTGGAGCCGACTCTCACCCTTAGAGAGCCGGCTTTAGTGTTTTGGGAGCAGGCTCCCTCCATTTTTGGAGCCTGCTCTCACCCCTAAGAGCCCTGGCTTGATCTGCATCTATCATCTTCGACTCCAGCGGTTTCAGTCTTTAAAAACAGTTTTATTACAGATTTTCAAGTCCTATCCTCATCCCAGATTAATCACAAGACAGAGTTATATAAACAAGAATGAAAAAAAAAAAAAAAAAAAAAAAAAAAAAAAAAAAAAAAACATCAGTTTATAGAACCATGACTATCAAAGTTTCAAACTGAACTTGCAAACTACTGCTAAACAGATTAAATTCAATGATGTTAGAAACTGTTTCAACATGTATTAATGATATAATTAAGTCTTATTTTAATTCCTGGAGTGTAACTAAGCATGCACATAACACAAATTCCTGGGAAAGAGAAGATCAGAAACTTGCCTTGGAGTTTCAGATTTGAAACTCTAATTCCACAGTTTCTGTAAGATACGTTTGTGTCCTAACAGCAAGTCTGCTCCTCCAGTGCTTTAGTTCAACCTAGAAACACCCCATGCCTTCCTCTTTGAATTGCTTTAATAATCAACCAAGGATACTTTGCGTTTCTCTTTAACTCCTCCCTCTGTTTCTCCGAGAAATTTATTTGTTTGCAACCCTAGGTAGAATGTACATATGTATATTTATAGACTTATAAACCCTAAACCCTAATTCTAGTTGTATTCCAAGAATAAAACATCTTAATAGGCAAAATAACAAGGCGGCTACATCTCGACACCTAAAACCCTAAGTCACGATACACCAGCTCCCATAAACCGTGAATTAACTATATTAAACAATTATGTAATTACAGTAATTAATAACAGCCAATTAATATACGTAAATAAATAAATCAAATACACCAACTAACTAAAAAAAAAAAAATTAACAAATAATACAACACTTAATTCAAATAAAAAAAAAAAAAACAATTAAAATCATTTAAGCAACCACAATTAATCACTTAAAAAAAAAAAAAAAACAAAACAACTAAGTCACGTAACTAAATTAATTAATCAATGAAAAACAAAATTAAATTTCCAATTCTATCCTTTTGAAAACTAGGGGTATTACATTCTTCCCCCCTCACAAAAGTAATTCCGCCCTCGGAATTCACGAAACTCTGAATTAATGACTTTACCAAACTCATTTTTGGTTTCGTGGGGCATAGCTTCATTAGATGAGCTCCACCAAATTCCAACATATCCAACAATATACCATGTATAAGAAATAACATATTTGGACAACTCCCAAATTGTATCTATCAACGATCCAATCGTACCCAATATTTAGTGAAGGGTAACCGTCCCTCGTCCTTCCAATTCCATAGAACTAACACATAAAAGTCCTATGCATCCAGCGCTTAACAAGTTGGTAACGCTAAACAATAGGCTACTGCCGAAACCAATAACCAAAACCCGTGAAGAGTCAGTGCGATACATAAAACTGACTTTCTTCCAAAACACATTGCTTCCGATACGGAAAACCGCTCAAACAACCCTTCCCTGATAGAAAACTCCCATGTACGAGTTCAACTAGCTACAAAATCCGACTGTCACCTCTAAACCGTGAGCACTCGTTACCAAAAGAGAGCATGGTTCTCCAATGTACCCTTACATAAAGTCAAGGTCTTATTAGATAACCTCGCTTCCATGTCGGACCAACCAGTAAGAGATCGACACAACCCGACTATCTAAAATCCCAAACATTGTCGAACGAACCTCCTTGTGCCAACAATAGCACAGATAATATCTGAAACGGTAAGTAACGCTTTCAATTACCCATGCCAACCTAGGATATATATCCTAAGCATATTTGCCATGATCAAATAGAATATCGCGATCCAAATTCCCGTCTAGAGATGCGAAGCATAGTTGTTGCTCCAACACCTTCAGAAAGCTCCTTTGACATAGCACCGGTTATCTTCCATATTGAATAACCACATGCTATAAC